TTTTTTTTTTTTTTTTTACTTTTTTATTGAATTTATTGGGGTGGACATTGTTTGATAAAATTATATCGGTTTTGGGGGTACAATTTTATAATACATCACCTGTATATTGTATTGTGTGTTCACCACCCCACGTCAAGTCTCTTTCCATCACCATTTTTCCTCTCTGTACCCCCTTCTGCCTCCCCCCGGCCCCCTTTCCCTCTGGTAATCACCATACCATTGTCTGTGTCTATGAGTTTTCTTGGTATATTATTTACAAATAAGTCATTTCAGTAGGCAAAGAATTTGAGAATTTGAGGATTGGGGGTGTTTCCAAGATATGGGTACCAGTAGTTGACTGAAGCTGCCACGGCAATATAATAAGGAATACGCTAACATTTTTGTTTTAATCTAGGTGAATTATTTTTTCAGCATATGGACAACTGTACTTAGAGTATCACAGTGCTTTGTGGTAGAGGGAAAAATACAAAACAATTACAGTGAGTGAGGCAGAATGGCTGTTCTTGCAGTACATAAGACTTCGATGACATCCTGCCAAGATTCATACCAGCCTAGTAGTTGTTGACAGATAAAGTAACAAAAATGAAACTCATTCATTTTTTCTTTATTGAGACCTCAAGCAAAAGCAGAGTTTTCAGTTCTTGTACTTACTACATTGATAGAACAGACAGCAAAAATGTGCCAGTCCAGAATAGAAATTAAAGCTAGGTTCATATCAAAATTCCACTTAGTCTTGGAGATGAAACTGCTGTTTGGATTATTTTTGATCCTAAAACAAATGGAGCATCACAGTATACCTGGTAAACATTAACCCTTTGCTGTGAGCAATACTTTCAAAATTATTGTTTTCAGTCTGTATGGCTTTATTACTTTCACAGTGTTTGAGGCTACTTGACTTATCATCAGAGGAGGTTACACTTTACCAAATGCAAATTACTGGCAGCAGACACATACATCTCAGTCTGCAGAAAGAATAAAAGTAGATTTGGAAAATTGTTACCAGGTCTTTTTCTCTATTCCAAAGTCATGTTTGATGCTGCAGTTTGTTTATTGAGATAAGGGCAAAAGTAAGTGGGAGATGTAAAGTGGGGATTTTTGGTTTGTGCTGTTGAGATTGTTGACGTGTGTTAAATAAAACTCAGGCTAAGTCATTCGCACCTTCCCTTCCTGTCCCTTAAGTTGGCATAACAAAACACCTGTAACCAGGGCTCTTTGACTTCCTTCCTTCCTTTCTTCCATCCTTCTGTCTCTTTTCCTCTCTTAATCCCTCCCTTCCCTCTCTCTCTTTCTTCTCTCTTTTTATTCAATGATCAACATGGAAATTTTGCTACAGTTTCTGGTAATTTAGTCTCTACTCAGTTGACTACAATATTCTGGACACTAAAACACGGTACACTCAGTGAATGATACACAGGTGAGTAAACACAGTCATCAGGGAACTGCTCTAAACAATCATAATCCAACTGTCTATTTCTTGAGTATATTCCAAAAATAATTTTGCTTGAATTTTTTATTATTCTAAAGTTTACATTTGATAATTTTCTCATTAGTTTTTCAACAACAGAAAGATAGCGTGAACCCGTCTCTTGAATTACCTTTTATGACCTTTGGCAAGATGATAATTAAGAAAAAGGGAGGCCTGGAAGTCCTGTAGAAAAATTAAGCTTATAAAGTAGCTAAAATGGCCCTTCTGTGCTGGTGTCGATTTCAAAATTAACATTTTGGTTCATGTGCTTCTAATAATCACTGACCCTTACTTCGTGTACTTTCCACAGGAAATGAACACAGCAGAAATTACTTTGACCCTCTGATGCATGAGGAAATAAACCCAAGGCAGTGTGGGATGGAGGTCAGCAGAGAGGGTGAGCTAGAATTAAGTATGTAATTTTTGTGTCAGAATATTCTTTTCCATTCATGAAAATGAGGTGACAAAGATCACACATGCAGTTCCGTTTAGATTTTGCAGCTTACAATTTAAATGGTAAGTTTTAACCACTAACAACATGATAGGCAGCGAAGGTAACTTTTGATCAAGGACAGAAAGCTGGTCAGATAGGAGAAGCAGGATCTTGCTTTCATTTGAAGATGCCGAAAGCAGTTTGGTGTCTTTATAAGGCCCACGCTGTGCACATGAAGAGCATCGTCGCTTTCAAATGCCATCTCTGCTCTTGAGTTTAACATGAGCACTCCTCAGGAAAAGTCATGCAGCACCTGAGATTTCCATACACAATGACTGTTGAATGTCCTTCATTGAAGGTGTGACACCGCCACCTAAGTTTTGAACCACACAGGTGCCGTGACATAATGGCTTCCTCTTCTATAATCTTGAGTCTAGCTGCGGTCGCAAAATAGCAATTCAACATTGTTCCTTATGTAAACACCACTGTGCGGATTTGGTAGTTTACCAAGCACTCTAAGGTTTACAAATGTTATGGATGAGATAATGATGGTGACAAATGTTACTTAGAGTCATTTGCAATCCAGAAGACCATATTCCACCATTGAGCACCAGACACTGAATCTGCACTTTTTAATAAAAACTGAGTAACTCCTCACAAACAAAAGGGATCAAGCACAGTGCAGATTATTTTAAAAGACAGTTTTCAATAAACTAAAGCTATTTTTATATCATGCAGAATCCAGATATCATCAAAAGACGTATATCTGCAAGATAAGGCAAGGACTTACTCTCGGGACCAGGTTTTACCAAGAGCTCAAAATCAGGGAGAACAGGAAATTGGAAAATCTCAACTTTTTATTTGCTCAAAACACACCGTAGAAAGAGAGACAATCTCAGTGAATTCTGGAGAAAAGTATCAACTGAATTATCAGTTGAAGTCTGTTTCAGTTTCTTGGAGATCAAAGATATATAGTTGTATGTGGTAGAATGTTTGTGATGGAAGGACTAAAGTTGACTTAATCAAGTCAAGAATGGTTCTAACTATAAACAGTAAGTTTCATAAAACAAAATGTTGGTCACCCTCCCAGCAATTATTGCCCAACTCCTGTGGTTAAGCTGGGGCCTCACATTTTAGAGCAGACAGCTCTCTTTCTATCTGCCCACAATCCAGTTTTAGGTTGACATTTAAAGATGTGTTTTTCTCTCTTTTTTTTCTTTTTCTTTTTTTAAAAATATGTTTTAATTGATTTCAGAGAGAGGAAGGGAGAGGGAGAGAAAGAGACAGAAACATCAATGATGAGAGTCATTGATCGGCTGCCTCCTGCACGCCCTCTACTGGGGAAGGAGCCCGCAACCCGGGCATGTGCCCTGATGGGGAATCAAACCTCAATCTCCTGGATCCTAGGTCGACGCTCAACGGCTGAGCCACGCCAGCTGGGCTCTTTTTCTTTTTGCTGAGTACTCAAGCCTGTGCATTTACCCCATTTAGGGAACTAGGCAGTGCTAATTAGCACAAAATATCCTTCCACAACTATGGCATAGGGTCGAAGGCTGCAGACATAATAGCAGTGCTGCTGGGATGGGCCTCAGGAGACCAGCCTCTGCAAAGATGCAGCGCCTGACATTTTGTGTGACAGGATTTGAGGGACACCCCAAGGTCTGCTTGCCCCATCTCTCTTCATTTTGTTTCAGCTTTGTCTAATTCTAAGACAGTGGTGGCCATGCAACTTGCCATCATTTATGTTTGGTTCTAGTGGCAGGAGATGCACCTAGATGACCCTTTAACTCTTCCAGAAACATGTTTTTATGATTATTTATTACATTTTTTTGTAAAGGCATAACCTTGTTGCTTCAAATTCATGAAAGAACTAAGTAGCCCTTGCATTTTCTATTATGTCACAACAGCATATATAAAGGAACCTGAGAACACCTAAGTTCAGTGTTTTTTACACATAAGTAACAAAAAATATGACATATAGTAGCTAATGGAAAACACTCATTTATTTTGATCACATGCTTACATTTTCTGTTGTATGATTTGACAAATCATAATGGATTTTTCTGAAATGATGCTTGGGTATTAGATGTGGTCCTTTTGATAGAAGAAGTATGCTATTGTAAATACCCTGTGATACACATTTCAAGCATCATTGTTCCAGTTACCATTGATTTACAGAAGTTTTTTCTTCCAGAGCAAGGCAGCATATTGAATAGAATTTGTATCTGTGACCTATAATAAACCTAAAGAGCCATGGTTATTAATAATTTTTTGTAATTACATTGCATGTCTATAAATTAACAGATGAGAAAGTTATCATAAATATGCTCTTTCAGCACCCCCACAAGTTGATAGTAGAATTCTCTATGATGATCGATTAATGAGGATGTTCGACGAGAATGGACGTGGAGGAGTCCAAGGTAAGAGACCAGTTATTTTCAATCTTTTATATTATCATTACTTATAAATTTATTGAGATGGTTTTTGCAAATGCTAATCAGTCTCTTAAATATAGCTATTCATTGATGACCTATGCGTGTTTTTTATGGTTGTAAATATGTAAATATAGCTAAGCTTGGGGAAAAAGTAATTATGGCCCAATTTCCTATAATTGCATAGAATTTAAAACCAAAAAAAGCAAAAAAGATTTAACAGATTTACTTCCTCAGGATCCTATAATGGTATGGCATATTTGGATTAATGAATTTGAGGTTATATGCCACTCTTTTATAAAGAGTTTGTCTTGCCCAGCCAGGAGTGGCTCAGCAGTTGAGCACTGACCTAGGACCCAGGAGATCGAGGTTCGATTCCCGGTCAGGGCACATGCCCGGGTTGTGGGCTTGATCCCCAGTAGGGGGCGTGCAGGAGGCAGCCGATCAATGACTCATCATTGATGTTTTTTTTTCTCTCTCTCTTTCCCTCTCTTTGAATTCAATAAAAATATATTTAAAAGAAAAAAAAAGAGTTTGTCTTAACTTTTAATTTCTTAACCTTCTTTACCATTTCTGTCAAAGAAACGTATAATACCTTCTACAATGGAATAGTTATGGAGAATAAATTATTAAATATTACATGAGCAGATATGATAATCACATATATAGAATGAGGATGATTGATGATGAAAATGTTAATACCAGCGAAACATTTATTGAACGCTTACTAGGTGCCTGACACTGTCCTAAGTACTGCTCTAAATGAGGTAAATATTAACTTTTTTAACCCTTCTAACACCCCTAAAGTTTAGGTTAAAATTTTCATCCCCACCTACAGAATGGCATCCCTTAAAATTTTTCTTGCTGCCTTTCTTACCCACTCACACCCCTTTACTTTTTTTTCTATCAATTTGTGTACCCAGCGTTGTATTTCTTTTTATCTTTATAAACCACACAAACTCATTTTTCTTGCTGCCTTTCTTACCCACTCACACCCCTTTACTTTTTTTTCTATCAATTTGTGTACCCAACGTTGTATTCCTTTTTGTCTTTATAAACCACACAAACTCATTTTTGAAGCCAGCGTGACCTCTCATCTTGAAGGATTCCAATTCAAATGTTATATTATTCAGGATTCTCCAGAGAAGCAGAATCCAATTGAACCAATAGAAAGAGAGAGATTTATTTTAAGGAATTGGCTCACAAGTCTGAAATACCAGGGAAGACTGACAGGCTGCAGATTAAGGCAGGACCTGAAACTGTAGTCTTGAATCTGAATTCTGCAGGACAGCAGGATGGAAACTCAGTAGAGTCAAGGTTACATCCTTGAGTCCAAAATCCACAGGGCAGGGCAGCAGGTAGAGCACTCGGGCCAGATTCCCTGTGTTACAGTCTTGAGATCGAATGCTGTCTTTATCTGGAAACCCCAGTTTTTACTCTGATTGCATGAACCCCCTCCTCTCCTCCCCCACACACATATTATGAAGAGCAATCTACTCTACTCAAAGCCTATTTATTTAAATGTTAATCACATCTAAAAATTACCCTCATGGCAACATCTTGATTGTTACTCGAACAAATAACTGGATACCATAGCCTGGCCAAGCTGACACATAAAATTAAATATCACAAATGCTTATGTTTAAATCTATCAGGCCTCTACATGTTTAGTCTAACTTTTGAGTCAGCAAATGTACATTTTAATTCATTTTTTGTGCTAGACATTGAGCAATGCGCTTTCATACCTATTATGCCCCTTCCATTCTGACAACTCTTTGCACCTTGAATTGCTTGAAACCACCAACTGCACATTTACAGGTAGCACCTAATGGGTCTTCTAAAATCATATATGGGTTTACAAACATCTTACGGAGCTTAAAGGATTGTCAAGCACTTCACCAGCTATTTTATACGTGAGGATATAAGTGAGACCTGGAAAGTTTAAAGACCTATGCAAGGTAGTACAGCATCCCAGTGAACAAAGGAGGAAGCCAGCAGCCCTCTAGATACCACAGCCCCCCGTTTTTCCCAGGACCCACCAGCTTCCCTCCTGAGAAGGAAGCTCTCTCCCATGCGTTAAAAGTGTGAAGGTTCTCATTAAAATTCTAACATTGGAGGCCTGGAAAATTCCACGTTTTTACCTTCTGGGATTTTTTTAGAGACTGGAAGAGAGAGGATTATTTTATGTTTACAGCATGCATCCAGCCAGATGAATAGTTACATTTTGTAGATGATAGTGTTTTCAGATGATAGAGAGGTAAAGTACACATACCATTTACATAAATGCTGGCATTTCTATGCAAATAAACAAGGCTGGACAAATAAAGTGCCTGTGTGTGTGCAGAGCTCACGAACTGTTCTTGGGGATTCTAACTTGGGAAACGAACCCACGAGCTCTGGCTTCTCCTAACCCTATATCCATTTACCCAGCTGGTTTCAGCGAAACAGCAAGGAGGTGGTAAGATGCTGAAATAAACAGCATGTAATGTTAACGCAGTGTCCGCACTTCAGGATGCATTTGATAAGTGGCGAGAAGGCTTTAATGCATGGTGGCACTTGGCTCACTCTGTGAACATGATGGGTTGGACAAAGGTTTTGGGGTTGTGGTTGTTTTACTCTTAAAACTTGCTCTGGGCTTTAGTGATTTCCCAGCACATTGAAAATAATTTGTTCAATTGTAGATCATGAAAAGCCAAACTTTATTCCATGTAAGAAAAAAAGTGCTTAGATTATTGTTTGTTTAGCCCATGTTAATGTGACAAAGAGTGAGTGGAATGACGTGTGATCTTCTTGGGGTAAATAGATGAGAGCATCGAGAAGGCGCCTTTGGGTTCTGAAGAGCCGATGAGTTCCAGGAAGAGTCCTGAGCTCCACAAAGGGGACAGTGAAGCCACCTCTGCCTACAGTGAGGAGTTTAAAAGATATGCTCAGAAAGACATAATTTGGCGTGGAAGTTCTTCATTAAAACAGGTCAGCATTAAAATATATATCAAGAAATGTAATATAATTTTTTTTGGTTATTTTATTTTATTTTTTAAAATTTATTTTATTGTTGAGAGTATTACAGATGTCCCTCATTTTCACCCTTTGCCCTCGACCCGTCTCCCACCCTACCCCACCCCAGGCCTTCATCTGTCTCTTGTCTGTGCCCATGAGCTGTGCATATATGCTCATAAGTTCTTTGGTAAGTAACTTTCTACCCTCCTGTCAGTCTGCTTCATGCTTCCGTGTCTGTAGTCCTGTCTTGGAATACTACGCAGCTGTAAAAAAGAAGGATCTCTTCTCCTTTGGGACAGCATGGATGAACCTGGAGAGTATTATGTCAGAGAAAGACAAAAATCACATGATCTCACTTATATGTGAAATCTAAGGAACAAAATATAATGTTTTTTAAAATAGCAAGTTAAAATGTCAGTCCTACATATTGCTTACTGATTTTACTTACGAACACTCACCTCCTTAGCACACATAACTCATGACTTCCCCGAGTCCTTGCTCTTATTTTTCGTATGCATTTTACTGTGCAGAACTTACACTACTTATCAATATCACTCCTGGCCCTTGAACAATTTAGTTTCCCTTCATCTGGTTTTATTTTGTGTTACAGTACTAACTTCTAGCATATTATGAAGAAGTCATAATGGAACCTGTAGCCAGCATATACTTTTTGGATAACATTCAGAAACTGCTGTTTGCATGGCCCTGTAGTGATAGGTGAACCACCTCATATTTGTGACATCACCATTCAGGGAACTGAACTTGTACATTTTCTCTGCTGTGACTGGAGCCACAGAAGGGAGTTTTAGCCCATGAATTGTGTTGGCTTCAGAAATGCTCTTTCTTTTCTTTCATCTGTCCTTTCTGTCTGTGTGTAAAGGAGCATAATGTGCTGAGACCCCTCACAGAGAGGAACAGTGTTCTTCTGTGTAGCCACCTTACCTACCTCAAATAAAAATAAACGGATCCCATGTTTAGCTCCAGGTGTGTGTGTGTGTATGTGTGTCTGTGTACATGTGCATGTGCATATGTGGTTTTATGTGAAAGGTAATCTGGTTCAGGCTACAGAGGAAAAATATCACTTTGTGCAACAGACTGTCCTCAGTGATGTGTTTTATAGTAACAGGTCAGGAGTGGAAGTATTATTTTCTGTTTTAGAAGTGAGGAGAATGGCTTAGTTTAGGGAGGTGTTCTCTAACTTGGACTGTGGACATTTCATAACAGAATTTATTTTCTTCATTTGTGACACTTAGATCTGAATATCCTGAGCACATTAAGTTTACAACTACTTGGAGCTTTCTCAAGTATAGACTTTCCTAACAGGTGCCTTGATGGCTCCTGTCGTGGGTTGAATTGTGTTCACCAAAAGGATACATTCAAGTCCTAACCACTGATACCAGTGACTGTGACTTTATTTGGAAATAGGGTCTTTGCAGGTGTAATTAAGCTAAGTATCTCCAGGTGATATCATCCTGAATATAGGGTGGCCCCTAAATCCAATGACTAGTGTTCTTATAAGAGAAAGGACAAAAAGATATTTAAAACACAGACACACTGTGGGGAAGGCCATGTGAAGACAGGCAAAGATCGGAGTGCTCCCTTTACAAGCAAAGGATTGCCAAGGAACCAGAAGCTAAAAGAGAGGCAGGATGATTGTCCCCTAGAGCCTCATGAGGGAATCAACCCTTATCGGACCTCCTGCCCCCAGAACCGTGAGACAATAACTTTCAGTTTCAAGCCACCAAGTGTGTGGGAATTTGTTCTGCAGCAGTAGGCAACCAATACAGCTCAAAGGCAGGGCCTCCCCTAAGCTAGGTTATGCCTCTTCACTGGTGTTTTTACAAGGCTCACATTTCTATCAAGACAAGGCTCTCAAAAGACAGTGAGGTGAGAAAGGGTGCATGGCTCTGCCTTTTAACCGTGATTTTCAGATGTGTTCTGATACATTAACAGTTCAGCATTTCCACTTTTTGGTGCCACGTGGTGCCATTGTAGGCATTTCAATTTAGCCCAGGCTTTCGAGAATGGGTACATGGACTCTTTAAAGATACGTGGCTGATATTTCTTATATCTTCACAGTATAAAAGATAAACTGATGATTATTGACGCTGAGCATTTTCTCATGTGTCTCTTGGCCATCCGTATGTCCTCTTTGGAGAAGCATCTATTCAAGTCCTTTGCCCATTTCTTAATTGGGTTGTTTGTCTTCCTCTTGCTGAGTACTATGAGTTCTTTGTACACTTTGGAAATTAGCCCCTTATCAGGTACATCCTTGGCAAATATGTTTTCCCAGACCTTGGGGTTCCTTTGTATTTTGAGGCTGTTTTCTTTTGCTGTACAGAAGCTTTTTAGTTTGATGTAGTCCCATATATTTATTTTTTCTTCTGTTTCTCTTGCCCTAGGAGATGTATCAGTGAAAAGTCCACTACGTGGGATGTCTGTGACTTTATTGCCTATGTTTTCTTCCAGGATTTTTATGGTTTCGTGACTTACATTGAAGTCTTTTATCCATTTTAAGTTTATTTTTGTGTATGGTGAAAGTTGGTGGTTTAGTTTCATTTTTTTGCATGTATCTGTCCAATTTTCCCAGCACCACTTATTGAAGAGACTGTCTTTACTCCATTGGATACTCTTGCCTCCTTTGTCAAATATTAACTGACCATAATGGCGTGGGTCTATTTCTGGGGTCTCTGTTCTGTTCCATTGATCTATATGCCTGTTGTTGTACCAATACCAGGCCGTTTTGATTACAGTGGCTTTGTAATACAGTTTGAAGTCTGGTAATGTGATCCCTCCCACTCTGTTCTTTTTTCTCAAGATGGCTGCAGCTATTCGGGGTCTTTTTTGGTTCCATATAAATTTTCGAAATGTTTGTTCTAGGTCTGTGAAATATGCTGTTGGTATTTTAATAGGAATTGCATTGAATTTATAAATTGCTTTGGGTAGTATGGACATTTTAATGATATTAATTCTTCCAATCCATGAGCATGGTATCTTCTTCCACTTGTTTAAATCTTCCTCTATTTCTTTTTTCAGTGTCCCGTAGTTTTCTGAGTACAGGTCTTTTACATCCTTGGTTAAGTTTATTCCTAGGTATCTTATTTTTTTAGTTGCAATGGTAAATGGTATTGCTTTTTTAGTTTCTCTCTCTGAAAGTTCATTGTTGGTGTATAAGAATGCCATTGATTTCTGGATGTTGATTTTGTATCCAGCTACCTTGCCAAATTCGTTTATCAAATCTAGTAGTACTTTGATGGAGTCTTTAGGGTTTTCTATGTACAATATCATGTCATCTGCAAATAATGACAGTTTTACTTCCTCCTTTCCAATTTGGATACCTTTTATGTTTTCTTCCTGTCTGATGGCTATGGCGAGGACTTCCAGTACTATGTTGAATAAGAGTGGTGAAAGTGGACATCCCTGTCTTGTTCCGGTTTTTAATGGAAATGGTTTTAGTTTTTGCCCATTGAGTATGATGTTGGCTGTAGGTCTGTCATATATGGCCTTTATTATGTTGAGGTATGATCCCTCTATTCCCACTTTGCTGAGAGTTTTTATCAGAAATGGGTGCTGGATTTTGTTGAATGCTTTTTCTGCATCTATTGATATGATCATATGATTTTTGTCCTTCATTTTGTTTATGTGATGTATCACATTTATTGATTTGCGGATGTTGTACCAGCCTTGCATCCCTGGAATAAATCCCACTTGGTCATGATGTATGATCTTTTTAATGTATTGCTGGATCCGGTTTGCTAGTATTTTAGTGAGGATTTTAGCATCTATGTTCATCAGGGATATTGGCCTGTAATTTTCTTTCTTTGTAGTGTCTTTATCTGGTTTTGGGATTAGGATGATGCTGGCCTCATAAAAAGAGTTTGGGAGTTTTCCCTCCTCTTGAATTTTCTGGAATAGTTTGAATAGAATAGGTGTTAATTCTTCTTTGAATGTTTGGTAGAACTCGCCTGTAAATCCATCTGGTCCAGGACTTTTGTTTGCTGGGAGTTTTTTGATTACTGCTTCAATTTCATTAGTTGTTATTGGCCTATTCAGGTTTTCTGCCTCTTCTTGATTCAGCTTTGGAAGGTTGTATGCTTCTAGGAATTTGTCCATTTCCCCCATGTTGTCCAATTTGTTGGCATATAGTTGCTCATAATATTTTCTTACAATCCTTTGTATTTCTGTTGGGTCAGTTGTTATATCGCCTCTTTCATTTCTGATTTTATTTATTTGGGTCCTCTCTCTTTGTTTCTTAGTGAGTCTGGCTAAAGGTGCATCAATCTTATTTACCTTTTCAAAGAACCAGCTCTTGGTTTCATTGTTTTTTTGTATTGTTTTTTTAGTCTCTATGTCATTAATCTCTGCTCTGATTTTTATTATTTCCTTCCTTCTACTTCCTCGGGGCTTTTCTTGCTGTTCTCGTTCTAGTTCTTTTAGTTGTTGTGTTAGATGGTTCATTAGATCTTTTTCTTGTTTCTTGAGATAGGCCTGTAATGCTATGAATTTTCCTCTCAGGACTGCTTTCGCTGTGTCCCATAGGTTTTGGGTTGTTGTCTGTTCATTTTCGTTACTTTCCATGAAGTGTTTGATTTCTTCCTTGATCTCCTTGGTAACCCATTCATTGTTTAATAACATGCTATTTAGCCTCCATGTGTTTGAATATTTTTGAGTTTTTTTATAGTGGTTGATTTCTAGTTTCATGGCATTGTGATCCGAGAAGATGCTTGATATGATTTCAATCTTCTTATATTTGTAGAGACTTGCCTTGTGCCCTAACATGTGGTCTATTTTTGAGAATGTTCCATGTGCACTTGAGAAGAATGTGTATTCTGCTGCTTTGGGGTGAAATGTTCTGTAAATGTCAATTAAATCCATTAGGTCTAGTGATTCATTTAAGGTCTGCGTTTCCCTGTTGATTTTTTGTCTTGATGATCTGTCCAATGCTGACAGTGGGGTGTTAAAGTCCCCCACTA